ATGGGGATGTTATTAGTAGAATTCAAATTGGTTGGTTCAAGTGGAGGATTGCTTTGGACCTATTGTGTGATAGAAAAGTATTGCTTAGACTAAAGGAAAATTTTATAAGATGATGGTGAGACCAGCAATGCTTTATGGCGCTGAATGTTGGCCTTTAAAATAGAAGCAGAAAACTAAATTAAGTGTTGTCGAGATGAGAATGATTAGGTGGATGAGTGGTTTTACACAGATAAAATGTGAAATGAATATATCCGTGATAGGGTTGATGTAGCTCCACTGACAGACAAAATTAGAGAAAGTCATCTTGGATGGTTTGGTCACAATAAACGTCGACCATCTGATGACCCGGTAAGCAGAGTAGATGCTTTGGATTCGATTTATGTTAAGAAAGACAGAGGTAGACCTAGGATTACTTGAGCATATTGTATAAAAAATGATCTTAATTTATTAAATTTAAGTGAAATAATGACACTAAATATGACATAATGGAGAAAAAGGATTCATATAGCTGACCCCACTTAGTGGGATAAAGGTTTTGTTGTTGTTGTTATTTGTTTTGGTATAATTTACAAGATCATACTATATTACATTTTTAATATCAATTCTAACTTTGCATGTTATGTAACTCTTGTAATTTCCACTTTTATTCAAGCAAGATTATAGTGATTCAATTCAACCAATAAAATGTTTCTTATAAAGAATTATTTCTTGCTCTTGACGATAAGCCTGGAGCGAGTGGTTAAGTTGCCTCGATTATGATAGGGATATCTCATTTTTTGAGTTATAAAAGTAGTCAATCTGCAGATGTAGGGTAAAAATGTGAATTTCAACCCCTAACAAACTCGGCATTAGTAATAACTCCATACACTAAATTATGTTCTTCTGAATCATTTCTTGCAGATAACCAAAGGTAAACAAACTTTAGGATAGCAATACTGCTATCAAAAAGGTTTATTAAATGGACCTCAATGAATGGGAGATCAAAAACAAACTCTCTAGAAATTTAAGGATATGGTTGCACGTAACAAGCCCAATGAGTCATATCATTTACAAAAGCACCACATATTGGATTACTCCCTTTTAAATAATCGTTTCTCTAGTAAATAATCTCATCAGCATCATGCACTTACCATAAGGGAAAGAATGACATTCACGGCATCATAAAGTCTCTTTGCTTCAATTGAAGTTCCAACAACTTCTGGAGATATTTGTGACAATAACAATACCGCCTATTCAAAGAAAAGGTTCCGTATTGATAAAGGACTTTAGGTAAAGTACCACATATTGATATATAAAGAGCATGCCTTCAGTCCTTCGGCAGTACAATCTGAAATAGGCCATCCATGATCTCCTGTTGAGAAGGGCCATGCACCTTTAGAAATGTGACGATACCAGAAGCTAAGATCACCAGGGCAATCTTCAAGAACCTAAGGCAGAATACTTGAAATATCATTAAGTGTTAAAAAAATATATGGAAATTAAATATGTAGCACACAATTCTTGTGTTTTTTACATATCTCACGCTTAAGCTTCCATAAAATAGCACTTTGATGTTTTAAACCTATGCATGAAAAGATGTATTTGAATTCATATAAGTGATAATAGTGCTAGTTTTGATGTGATATTAAAAATATGAGTGCTATGTGTGTAAATATGAAATTTTAGGTGTAAGATGCGTGCATGCATAGAATTATGAGCTTGGTATAGAAATGCCCCAAAAAATTATCTAATGAATGTAAGAGTCACACAAATCAAACCTGCGATTTCTTAATATAATCATGAGCCTTTTTGAGAGTAGGACCATATTCTTCATGAAGTTGAGTTGAGATAATTGCTTGTACTGTAAATGCCGTATCCCATAATTGGCTGCCATTGTACCCCTGCCATTCATTGACATAAAATAAATAATAATTTAAATATTGCTCCAAAAATGGTGGCATAGAATATACCACAAAATCCATCTTAAATCATTTATAGGTATAAAAAGAAGGGGCAATTACATATATAACACACAATACTTATGTATGTACATATCTCACACTTAAACTTTCATATTTACACAAATAACACTCAAATCTTTAATATCATATCAAAATATCACTATTACCACTTTTAAAAGTGAAATACACATTTTCATACATAGGTTTAAAACAACACAATAAGTAAATATGGAAATTCAGATGTGAGAAATGTAAATACATAAGAATTTCGTGCTACGTATGTGAATTTCCCTAAAAAAGAAAAGATGAATAATATCAAGTTTCGACATAGTTTGATGTTGAAAATCATCAGATCTATACCTGCATTTTCATTCCATCTTCTGCGAGCCACAAATAGTCATGTACTCTAGGAAGATGCAACTTAAATGCTTCCGAGTTCGGATCTTCAACCCAGCAACAAAGCATATTTATCACCTGTATAGATGCATTCAGAAAAAAAGTTTTTTCTCTGAGCTAGAATATATCGAACTTAACGCCATAAAATACAATGCCAAGACATACAATAGGAAAAATATTAGCGGCAAATTCTCAGTTTCATTTAAACATATACGTAAGTTAACGCCTCACTGAACAAATAATCATTATCACATAATAAACGAGAATTTCACAGTGCAAGAGTTTTATGATGTTTTAGTTCAAGAAACCTCAACTCTCACAATGTAAAAAATGAGTTTTAAATTGAAAACTACAAGAATAAACCATGGATCCAGTAAAAACAATCCAGTAACTGTGAATTTCATATAAGATGGTGCACCTCCAAATAGTTATAGGGGCTTCAATAAAGTTATCGCATAGATTGTCTATATTAGAGAAGGCTATGCTAAAAGCACACAAGTTAGTCCCTACGCGATGGTGCTAGCATTTCTATTATTTCTTATGACATTCATCAATTATGCAAATCAGTATGATCAAAAAAGGATATCTTGTTGAACGAAAAGTATTCGATAGTTAGAAAACAGTAACGAACAACAATGAAAAGAATGTTGTATTGCTCTGGCAAATCACATTAGCAAATTGAAGAATCAATATATTGCTAGAGATACATCTGAAATGAACAGTAAAATCATGCAACATAAATCAATATTATGAGCTTTTTGTTGAACCACATTGTATGTATGAATTTGTTGATCACACGGGCCCACTCACGGTTTAGGAAATTGTGGGCCAAGTGCTACATTTAAGGAGGAGAAATTATTCTCTCTTAATTATCCTTTATTGTGAATTATTTCATTCCTTTCTAACAAGATGATTTGAATTTCCCTCCAATTGTATTAGGGTTAGTTTGAGTTGCATAAATACCTGTTATTCGCTTGTATTAAATAAATGAAAAATTAGAGAGGTTTTTCCTCTTAAGAAAGTTCCTCCAAAATTCCACATGGCGTTCGAGCTAGGAGACAAACCCTAGATATCTTTTTCAGCCGCCTGAATCCTCCCTGTCAGGCCCTCCCCGACTTTGTTTCCTGCTCCCCTTGACTGTCTAGATCTCCATACGCCTACCAGCCATGGACCTCTCTGCTTCCGAGCCTCCTAGATGCAACTACTCTTGAATTGACCGAGACTTTCTTTTTTTAGTTGAAATAAATACCGCTCGGCTCGGTCACAGACCTCACTACCTTCTGCAACACAGTTGTTCTCGGATCCGACAAGCACCAAGACTTTCTCCTTCTAGTGGAAATAAATTACAACCGGAAATCATGTGCTCCATATCACTGGATTTTTTTCTCTAGTGGAAATCCAAGACCTGTGCGTGCCACAATTGGGTTTGAACGCCATCTCTGCGGAGAAAAATCCTGTGTTAGCGACAGAAAATTTCTCTCTCCAGTGAAAACTCTCTGTCATTGACAGACATTTGCTTTGTCTAGTGAATATCCCGTGTTGACAACAACAGTTGATGATGACCAAATACGACATGAAAGTTCTTTATTCATCTTCATAAGTTACATCTGAACCCGAGCTAAGATGTTTGGTTCTACATCTAAAGTCCATTCTTGCATAACAAATCACAAACTACATGATAAACATTTTTTTCAATGGTCTCAATCTATGTTTATGTACATCTGTGTTAAAGAAAAAGATGATCATCTCATTGATTGAAATTTTACACCAGAAGTTATTAATCCTAAATATTGGACATGAAATTAGAAAATCACATGGTCATCTCATGACTTGTCAACTCCAGTACCACAGAAATTGGAGAAAACTTCCTCATGTATAAAACAACAAAAGAAATTTGAGATGTCACAAGGCAAACCTATAAAAGTGCTGACAACACCCCTAAATTATTTGATATTGAAACTAAATTATATGAACTACGACAGAGTGAATGGAATGTTACGAAATACTTCAACATACTCTCCTAATATTGACTTTAATTAGATATGCATGAAACATACACAAGGAGGTACTCACAAAATGCTGCACTTTACAAAATCGTTGTTGAACAGAAGAGAACCATCAAGTTCCTTCTCGCACTCAACAAAGAACTAGATGAAGTCAGAAGAAGAATCATGGGAATCAAATCTCTTCCCTCAATTCGTGAAGACTTCGCTGAAGTACTAAGGGGAGAGAGCACAAAGGAACTCATAATGACAGGTAATTCCATTACTTCAAATGTTGACAACTTGACCACATATACTTATCAATCATCACAGGACAATAAATTAAAGAGGAATAGACCGTGGTGTGAACATTGCAAGAAGTTTGTTCATCTAAAGAAGAAGTGTTGAAAATTTTAGGAAAATCCTGTAGATTGGAAGCCCAACAAATTAAAAGGTGATGGGGAAAATCAAAGAAACACGACATCAAAGGAAGACAAGTCTCATGAACATAATCCATTCGACAAGGAACAACTTGTAGCTATATAAAGGCTTATGGGACAATATTCCGAGTCTTTTACTAGCGTTCTAGCATATCAAGGTAGCCTTCCATCTACGCTTGTTGCTCTCAACATGCAGAATTATCGTTGGATGGTAGACTCTGGAGCATCTGATCGCATGATAAGTGCCATCACTGCTTTCCAATCCTTCTATTCTTGCAAACACCATGTTGCAGTTAGAACCGCAGATGACTCCCTCTTATTTGTGGAAGAAAGAAGAAAGAAGAAAGAAGAAGTGTGAAACTCACAAAGGATTTTATTATTCAATCCATATTTTATGTTCTTAAACTTCATTATAATTTACCACCTATCAGTCAACTCACTCGTGACATAAATTGTGTCACTAAATTGTACCTTAATTTTTGTGAATTTTAAGTGATAGACTAGGGGAAGGTAATTGACAGTGTTGATATGTATCAACTTTATCCGCTCGTTAGGTCTCCCCTTCAAAAGAATCATCTCACCACTCACAATCCTTTGAGTCAGAGTTAAGTCTTTATCTTAGTTTGTTTCTCAAGAGAGCCAACTTATGTTATAACATTGTTTCCTTGAGCATTTTAATTTCTATTATAGTTAAAAATTGCATCCCCATTTGTTTGTCAACAAAAAACATGGTTTTTATCAGCATGAAATTTGTCAACTTTCTAAACACACTAAACAAATATACTTAAGCTTGAAATACAAACTAGCACATCCCTTCTCCATGGTTCATAGTCATATTTGGGAGTCCTCAATAATAAAAATACAGATGGGGGTAGGTGGTTTGTCAGCTTCATTGATGATCACACCATAACTATTTGAACCTTTCTCATAACGAAAAACATATGAAACTACCAACATACTTGAAACCTTTCACAACATTATCATCACCCAATTTCAGAACAGATTTAAAATTCTCAAAATCAGTGATGCAAAAGACTACTAAAACTTCACTCTCGGCCCTTAGCTATCAAAAAATGACAACATTCATATAAGCTCTTATATTAACACACCCATACAAAATGATGTGGCCGAGAAAAAGAATAGACTTCTACTCGAAGTGACCCGTTCAATTATATTCACTAACACTATACCCAAACACTTATGCGGGATGCAATTCTCACATCTGACTATCTCACTATACCCAAAGACTTTTTTGCCAATGGACACTATCAATGTCAGGCTGCACACTTTATTTTTGAGATCAAATCAAGAACGTATAATAGTCATCCTTATTGTGTATGTAGATGACATTATCCTTTCATGCAATGGCATAAGGAAAATTGAAACAATCAAAAGAATAAAGACTTATGAGTTTGGGATAAAATGGAAGTAGCTAGATCCAAAAAAAAAAAACATTGTCATATCTCAGAAAAAAATATATTATTCACAAGAATGTTGGGCTGACAAAAAACAAATACTTCTATGGATCCCAATTGACGAGCATAAAAAAGATAGGATAACACCCCAGTTGATACAGAGAGGTATCAAAGCTTTCTAGGAAAACTTATTTATTTGTCACGTACAAAACCTAACATTGCTTTTTTAGAGGGTGTGGTGAGCCATTATATGAACGATCTTAATGAAGATCATTTAGATGCACTCTTCCGAATTCCAAGATACCTAAAGATGACACAAGGACATGAATTGGAATTTAAGAAGACTGGAGAATTGTAACATTAAGATATACATTGATGCTAGTTGGTCATGAAAACTAACTGACAGAAAATCTACCACAAGTTACTGTTCATTTGTATGGGCTAACCTTATTACTTGGAAAAGTAAAAAGCAAACAGTGGTGGCAAAAGATGGTGCAAAATTTGAGTATCATGCACTGACTCTAGAAATTTGTAAAGAGATGTGGCTAAAGAAATTACTTGTGGAACTATACATGGAGAACAAAAACAATATTAAGATGTTCAGTGATAGTTAATCAATCATCGATAATTCAAAGAATCCGGTACACCATGATAAAAACCATGATAGAACCAAACATCTATATATATATATATATATATAATATATATATATATTTGAAAGCCCAAAAAACCTAATATATTAAATAGAAAGAAATATACATATACAATGTGTGGGAGGACCCAAGCATGACACCCTGCCCACACAAAAAACCACAAAAAGTTTCAAAACTAGAAAAAACAGAAAATACATTCGATACTAAAATAAAAAGCCTAATAGTGCCGAAACACATAGTATCAGGTGGCTAGAAAGCGACCCAATTTGGTCTTGCCTCTGTCTCTAGTTCTAGGGAAGGAACAAGCTAATATGTTGGTAAGATGATTGTCATTGTTAGTAATAACCAATGTATCATCTAATATGTTCCCGAGTTGGAGTCGGCCTCCATTATTCTACTTCCTCCTGGAATAGACCCGTCATTCCTCATCCGAAGAATTAGTCTGATGGGGTGGTAGAGCTGAAGCAGAAGGAATACCAACCGTAGTACCCACAATAGGTTCTAGTATATGAGAAGTATGAGTTGCCTCTACACCAGATACTTCATGAAGAAATGGAGCTACGAGACTCTCCTGATTATCAGTCCGAA